GGCTGGAATTCAAGGGCTGGAATCAGGTTGGAGTCTGGCTGGAATCCCACTGGAATCCCGCTGGAATCCCAGTAGAATCAGGTTGGAATCCCACTGGAATCCAAGGGCTGGAATCTCAGTGGAATCAGGTTGGAATTGGGCTGCAATCTGCTTGGAATCCCGCTGGAAGCCCACTGGAATCCCGCTGGAATCCATGGAGATCTCTCCATCCAGCGATGCCGGGAGGCTCCACCCCCATTCCCTGATCTCCACCCCCACTCCCAAACCCCCCATTCCCCAAATCCACGTCCCCTCCAACACGAGGTCCCCAGGAAGGAAGGTTGTAGTGCCGGGGCCTCCCGGCGTTCCCGCGGCCGTTCCGGGCGCGTTCCCGGCACATTCCCGGGGCGTTCCCGGGGGTCCCTCAGTAGAGGCCGCACTCCTTGAGGTTGTTCTTGATGATGACGTCGGTGACGGCGTCGAACACGAACTGCACGTTGCGCGTGTCGGTGGCGCAGGTGAAGTGGGTGTAGATCTCCTTCGTGTCCCGCCGCCGGTTCAGCTCCTCGAACTGGCTCTGGATGTAGGCAGCCGCCTCCTCGTACGTCTGGGAGCCTGGGAAGGAGGCGCAAATCCCGGGATTTTGGCACGGTGAGGGGAGGAGGGGGCGGGCAGAGCCCACTCCCTCGGGGAATGACGAGAGAACGGGGAGGGAGGTGGGGAGGGACGGAAAGGGAAAGAGGGATAAAGGGTGGGATGGAGGGGTGGGTGGGAAGGGACCTTAAAATCATGGAATCGTGGAATGGTTTGGGTTGGAAGGATCTTGAAGGAAAAGAGGGAAGAACCTTGGAATCGTGGTTTGGGTTGGAAGGGACCTTAAAATCATGGAATGGTTGGGTTGGGAAGATCTTAAAGGAAAAGAGGGAAGAACCTTGGAATGGTTTGAGTTGGAAGGATCTTAAAGGAAAAGAAGAAAGAAGCTTGGAATCATGCAAAAGAGGAACAAATCACGGAATGGTTTGGGTTGGAAGGACTTTAAATCATGGAATCATGGAATGGTTTGGTTGGAAGGATCTTAAAGGAAAAGAGGGACAATCGTGGAATGGTTTGGGTTGGAAGGATCTTAAAGGAAAAGATGGAACAACCTTGGAATCACGGTTTGGGTTGCAAGGGAACTTAAAATCATGGAATGGTTGGGTTGGGAAGGATGTTAAAGGAAAAGACGGAAGAACCTTGGAATCATAGATTAAGCAAAAGAGGGACAAATGGTGGAATGGTTTGGGTTGGAAGGACCTTAAATCATGGAATCATTGGAATGGTTTGGGTTGGAAAGATCATAAAGGAAAAGAGGGACAATCATGGAATCATAGAATGGTTGGGTTGGAAGGATCTTAAAGGAAAAGAGGGAAAAACCTTGGAATCATGGTTTGGGTTGGAAGGGACCTTAAAATCATGGAATGGTTTGGGTTGGAAAGATCTTAAGGGAAAAGAGGGACATATCATGGAATCGGGGAATGGTTTGGGTTGGAAAGATCTTAAAGGAAAAGAGGAACAATTATGGAATGGTTTGGGTTGGAAGGATCTTAAAGGAAAAGAGGGACAATCATAGAATCATGGAATGGTTTGGGTTGGAAGGATCGTAAAGCAAAAGAGGGACAATCATGGAATGGTTTGGGTCAGAAGGGCCCAGAGCAGGACACAGATCAGTCTCCCAGGCTCTAAACTGGAATTTCAATGGAATTCCCATCCTAGCAAGATGTGGGAAATGAGGAGCGACCTCAATCTGCCCCTGGGGTTCGGATCTGTGGGATGGCCAAAGGCTGCTCCCAAAGCTCTCCCAAGGGAACCCTCCTGCATCCCGGGAGCTGGAGGGAAGGAACCGGGGGAAACGATGGGAGAGCCCATCCCGGCTCCAGGGGATGCCGGTACCTGGATACTCGGGGTAGCAGATGGTGAGGGGGCTCCGGCGGATCTTCTCCTCGAACAGATCCTTCTTGTTGAGGAAGAGGATGATGGAGGTGTCCGTGAACCACTTGTTGTTGCAGATGCTGTCGAAGAGCTTCATGCTCTCGTGCATCCGGTTCTGGAGCGGGACGGACACGGGAGGGATCAGGGAAGGGACACGGGAGTGTCACCTCCTTCCCAAGAGCCCTGGTCCCCCTGGAAGGAGCCCAGGCCAAGGAAGGGGCTGTGGGGACACCGAATGTTTGTCACTCCCAGGTGGATCCAGGGAGGAATTGGCCCCAATCCGGGGGGGGGGGGGGTCATGGGGTGGCTCCTGCGGGAAACTCCGGAGGGTTTTCCATGCCCAGCAGAGCCCAGGGCAGCGGCTCCAGGATGGATCTGCCACCGGCCAAGGCAGAGCCCAGGGAAAGGGAGCCACAGTGGGGCAATTCCAGAGGGACTGACCCATGGAAAGGGACTTGGATTGAGCCCATGGAAGGTGCTGGAGCAGTTTCTGAGGGATTGATCCCATGGAAAGGGATCCAGGTTGGAGCAGTTCCTGAGGGACTGAGCC